CCGGCATTCCCGAAAGCGCCAGGAACCATACCCCCTACATTCCCAAAGGGACCGGCAGCGGCACCCATCCCATAAGCTGAAGGTCGTCTGTGTTGCAGCGACTTCCGCCCTCGCAGACACAATCCACTATTCCCATCATCATTGTCGTCGGATCCATCACCCTTCTTCTTCTCTTTCCGGTTCGAGCCTCCAACACCAGCGGCAACCCTATCATGGTCATTCCAAAACAGTCTGCCCTCCCTCCCTATACTAGAAGTACGCTTACCCTCCTCCTCCTCTCGATGGGCCCCCTTCTTCCCTCCCCGTTTTCTCCCTTTACCCCTTCCCTTACGCCCTTCATCATCATCATCGCTGCTGCTATCATCAGAGTCCCCATCAGGCCCCGATCGAAGCCTTGCTGATGCCCTCCTCCTCCTCTCCCTCTGCTGCCCACCCAACGCCGTTCGTCCATTCCCTCCTCCTCCTCCTCCTCGTCGCTCCTCCTCGGCAACTCGTGAATTCCTCTCGTACACTACCCCCCTCAAGAAGCGTCTAATTTTACATGCCCTTTTCACCGATTTAAGTACATCCAACACGACCTGCCTTATCCCCCCCACATCTGGGTGCTTCCCCGGAAACTTCCTCCTCTCCATCCGTAGCTGCCGAGCATACGAATAAACCATCCGAGAAAAGCCAAAGTCAGAGGCTGCGATCTGGGCATTCGTATTGGCGCTTGTCATGATGACGATGTACAGGAAACTAACGAGAACAGTATCAACCACCATAGCAAAATGGAGGATTTTTATGGCGCAGTGACGGAGCAACTTCCCCGATCGATTCCAAAAACACAACAACTCCTCTAGTGTGAGCTTAGAAACACTTGCGGAAATATGACAGTATATTTTTTACTCTTTTTCAATCAAAATCGTCGCGGCTCAACTCAACCGAGCCGACATTCAGAGCATCTACGAATTACCAACAAGAGCCTGTATGAGAGGAAGGAGAGGGATTCCACCAACCTCAACAACTCCTTCCGCTTCTCTCAATAAGGAAAGGTAGCAGTTATAGTAAGCATCCCTCGAGGACCCTTACAGAGCCGCCGCCCCCTTCTGATAGATCTTTGTCAACTCATCATCATCAGATGCCTCATCGTCACTACTATCACTACTACTCCCTGACGAACTACTATCATCACCACTACTGCTGCTGCTGGACCCCTCGCTACTACTACGCCCCCGCTTGCGTTCCAAAGCCCTTTCAGCCTCCAGCTTTGCCACTGCCCTTTCATGAGCGACAATTTCCCGAGCCCTCTCCTCATTTTCCTTCACCTTCTGATTGTGAATGGTGAGTAGACGGGCAACGTAGCGCTTCAGATTGCGCTGATCTCGGGCCGACATAAGGTCAACATCAAGCTCACACAGCTGAGCAGTAGTAGGGTCAAGGACTACCCCCGGTCGGCCCTTCAACTTCTTCTCCACTACTATTGCGAGGTCCTCAGCCGTTAACTGATTCATATCCTCCTCGAGCTTGTTCTTCTCATCAATGGTGAGAGGCAGATGCCCCTGACTAGGTCCCCGACTAGAGCTACTCCCCTCCGGAGGGGTCCCAGGGGAATTGGCAGGAGGAGCTTGGGTGAGGGATATCCCTTTATCAGCCAGCATAGCCAACTTCTCCTGCAGCTGGGCAATCTGCTGATTCAATGCGTCCAAATTCTGCTCGGATTCTTTGCTACTCTTAGCGCCTTTACTTCCCCTCCTCTTCTTCTTTCCACCATTCCTCTTACCCCCCACATTCTCCTTCTCCCCCTCACCCTCCAAAGGCCCTCCACCTTCCTTGGAAAAAATCGCGGCCATCAATTCGGTGGAGACATACTTCTCCTTATAGTCCTCATTGTTGATCTTATAAGACGCCTTTTGAACCAAATCAGCAGCCAGTTTATTCAATCTCTCGGCCGCTCGAAAAGGCCCCGACCCACTCGGGAAGTTCCTCAAACCATGCCTCACTATCTTGTTAATGTCCTTTTCCATCCCCAAATGCGTTTCATAATTCCCCGCTTGGACATTCTGCCGTATTAATGACAAATTGGTCGGAAGCTGATAAGCCTTGGGCTTAGCACCTTCGATCTGCTCAGGAAAGGAAGCGGTACCGAACCAGTACACAATACTGTCGTTCCCCTGTCTCTTCTGACTGTCCTTCTTGATGCCCTCAAGGACCCCCAATAGGGCAGACCGCCTGGTCCCAGCGAGCCCTTCTAATTTCGGCAGAGCCTCCTCCTCCTCCTCTTCCTGGGCAGCCTCTTCACCTTCGTTTGACGGTAGCCTTGGGTTGGCCACTTTACTAGCCCGGCTACCACGACGTCTAGGAGCACTGCTACGGGGGTTGGCGAGAGACCCAGGCGAGGCTTGGCTCGATGAAGGGGACGACGAGGCAGCGGTCTGAAGGGCCCTGTGGATTCACTCATCTATAAACACTCTCCTTACCTTCCGCCGTTTAGCTGCTGATTTAGCCTTGGCCTTCGCCCTGGTCCGGCGAGGGGGAGGAGACGCCGGTGGTGGTGGTGGATCATCGACTTGATAGCCGACCTCTTCGAACTTCATACCGGAGGCGGCGATTGAGGTGTTGAGCTGGTCGGCTTCATCGGGGTGGAGGAGGAGCTCTCCACGATGGAGGACCTCTGGGGACTGACTGGCAGGGGGTAGTTGTAGCATGGCGGTCGGCATCCTCCACTGACAGCAGGAAAGTACGGCATGCATGTCTCTGTTGAAAATGCGCGATTAGAAAAAAGGAGGTGCCCGGGATCGAACCAGGGATCTCGAAGGTTTCCGTCACGCGCCACGAAATTATCGGCTATACTAAACTGCTCTCCTCAGGTCTTCTATGCCAGCTTTGCCTACATCTCCTCCGTATAGTAGCCTCCGACCGGCAACCGCACATAGCAGCTTCCCGAGCTCTGAGTGGTCGTCCCCTCGTGGGGTCTCTCGCGAGGATTTAGTGACGATTTCTGATGAAAAAAGTGACAAATCATTCTGGTCCCCAGCCGCCGTTCCTGTGGTTCCTAAGCTGCCGCTCAAGCACCACCAACATGTTCATGAGGGGCCCCCTGATGACTTCCCGTGGTTGCTCACCCAAGACCCCCAGGTCGCCACTCTGGAGCGCTCCTTACTAGAGCAACTAGATCCGTCAAGGAAAGGCGATCGAACGGAGCAGCAGTTGCCTTCAAGGCTGATAGAGGCTCCTCTCGAGCCGCCCAGTAGTCCTCCACCATTGATCAACTTGGCACGGCTCGGCAGGGGTCGGCGGGCTCCTGGAGGCAGTGTTGAGGGCCCTGTGTGGCGACGTAAGAGGAGGGAGTGTGAGAGGCTCAGGAGGATCGTCAGAGCAAGGGCACCCCATGGGAGTATTCCAAGTCACATGTATAATAGCATGTCCCATTGACCATCTGCCTTCGAGTTCAGTACAACTAAATGCCCCTCTTGTCAGTTCCTTGTTAACCTGTCACATGGCAGCAGCTGTTGCCGCCCTCTCGAGTGATCCCCTCAAGGTCTCCACGATGGGCCGACCGGCTGACCAAGCCGCTAGTGAGGGCTACTCTAAAGTCGTTGATAAAACCGTCTTGTCGCAAGAGGCCGTCCCCTTTACCCCTGACGAGGCCTTTGACCCCGCTGGGGTAGTTCGTACGGAGGTCCCTGGAGTTGACGCTTTCTATTTGGACGGCATCCTTACGGAAAAGGAGTGCGACTATCTAGTAGGGCAAACTGAGAAGCTTGGGTACACCTTCTGGGACCCCAAGCATGAGAATCCGGAAAATGACTTTCGGTCGGCTTACACTGTGGAGGTTCTGCATCAGCAGCTGGCCGATCTAGTCTGGGAAAGGTGCCGACGATTTGTGGAGAGAGCGGTAGTGGACATTCCCGATGACCCGGAGGATCCGAACTACGAGGTGGATATAGTGGGGCGGTGGGAGCCCTATGGGGTCCTCAGTAAACTACTGTTCGCACGGTAAGGCCCTTGTAGGGTAATACACTCTAAGGTTGATGCAGGTACCTGGAGGGGGGTCACTTCGCGCCCCACACTGACGGCACTAGCATAGTAGACTTCAATAGACGTACTCTTTACACTGGTTTGTTGTATATCAACGACTGTGAGCCTGGTGATGGTGACACGAAGTTTTACTGTGATGCCCAGAAGGAGCTCGAGCTGGAGCCTAGAGGCCCTCGAGGGCAACTGAGTGGGCGACCGGAGAACGTAGTGTTCTCATCACAGTGTAGGAGAGGACGTATGGTCATCTTCTATGGCAGTAGTGTTCTCCATGAGGGCTCTTGGGCGACGAGGAAATACATCATTAGAACTGACATCTTGTACAAACGGCGTGAGGAGGTGTGTACGGCCCCTGAGGATCTACAGGCCTTTCACCTCTATATGGACGCCCAGTTACTAGCAGAAAAGGGTCATTGTGATGAGGCTGCGAGGCTGTTCCGGAAGTGTTTTAAGATGAGCCCTGCATTAGCTGAGGTCTATGGTATGTTGTAGAGGCCCTTACTGTTGTTCGATCAAGACTGTTGTGTTGGGAGGACGATGAGGAGATTCCTAAGCCGTTTTTGATAATAGGAGAATGTCGACATCCCCGACTGCTACTACCGTTGATACTACCTCCTGTATGTCGTCGGCTGCAGGTGTACTCTGTGTATTGGACGAACCGGTCCCCGAGCTGCAGAGGGTGGCTTTGAAGCAACTACTGAGCATGGTCAATGACTACTGGACGGAGATAGCGGACTATCTACCACAGATAGAGTCATTGTAGGTCTAGGGGGGGAGGGCGGAGGAGAATAGAAGTCATCCCCATCTACAGGGCTACACTAGTTGCTTGTTTCCACTCGTGAAACTCAACTGTATTTTATTCTCATCGGTGTGGATGGTGTTAGATGGTATTGAGTAGTGCTGGTAGTAGGTAGTTTATTATGAAGTGTCTTGATACTAAACGCTTTATACCATAATCAGGTATGAAGATGAGTCCTTTCCCGATCGGCATTTGGCCGCTCTGTTGGCCAGTAAAGTGTTCTTCAATCTAGAGGAGTAGTACAAGAGTTGGTATTGTTAGCGGGAGGGGGATGTGCATTGTTGTCAGGTATAATGAGGCTTTACGGTATGCCCTTGGTGCAGAGGGTCTGTTGGATGTGGCCGCCTCGAGGGGTGCAGATGAATACACTGATACCATCGTCTCGAGGGCTATAGATGCTTATGTGAGGCATAGGAATAGAGGTAGGTTGAGGGGGAGGAAGGGGAGGAGGAAGGTGTGTTGTGGTAGGGGACGAAGATGTCACTCAAGGGTCCACTGAGAAACGTGATGAGTTTGACCCTCGCATCGAGACGTTGGTGCAGACCCTTATGAAAGACGCCCTGGCGATGGGTGATCTGAAGCAAGGTAGACTTCGTGTCGAGCTGTGCTGGAAGTGCACTGACCTCTCTATCAGGACTTGGGGTGGCTCTAGAGGCTCAGAGGCTCGACTGGGTTGAGAAGTTTATCACTTATAAGGAGTCTATGGTCGCTGAGATGCTTCTATACTGCAAAAGTAATACATTTGAGTGGGGACTTGTGGGAGTCTTAATCTCAGCGAATGCCCTGGAAGTAGTGGATGACCGTCAGTTCCGTAGCAAGGTGTTGGAGCTTCTCATTAAAATCTACAAGACCGGTAATACGACTGATTCACCACCTAGTTGGTTGGGTATGCTGCATTCACTTTCAGTGCCAGCGGGTCGTGACCGTGACTGGGCTGGTTTGGCGCAATGTTACTTCCTCCTGAACAAACCTGAGGAGGTTGGGACCATGCTGAGGGAG